TCACTGATTTCTGTACTAAGCTGGTGCATGGGCAAATGGTGCCAAAAGTGCATCGGGCCAGGTTGAGTTCAACGAGCAAAGCTGATTCGACAGCGTTTAGACTGACCACTCCTATGCAACTTGGTTCGCAATGCCGCAGGAATACGGGGACGGTGTGAACGAGAGGGTAATGTGCGAATAGGCTACGCGGTTCCGTATTTTTATCTTGTCCATTGGCGTTCAAATTCCGACGTGGGACGAGTGCTTCTAAACAATAACATACCGGTCGCATAAAGGGGGAAGAAAGATGGTCCAACAATTTTCAATAAGAATACAGACTGTGAAAGCGTGGCTTATCGACCCTTTTGAGTTTGACAATGGGTTTGCAACAACCTGTGTTAGAAAAGTTAACACAGGGATAACTGGCTTGTGGTGGACAGTATGTGTGAGAACCCACATGTGTGCGCTGTGGTCCCACGATTTGTCAATCATTTTCGCGAGCGAATGAACTTCGCGTTTTTTGGAATACGTGAATCCAAGTGTCCGCGAGGATTAGATGTTGCCTAGAAATGCAGCTTTTCAGATCCATGCTAAAGGAATATTGCCTCATCAGGGAATATGTTGGAATGCACATTCAAAAATGTGGTGGGAGAATAGGCCATGCGGTTGCGAGTAGTCTTTCGGCAGCAGAGCCTTTCAAGACTCCTTTCTCAAAACGTTACATTTCCTAATTGCAAGGCCTAATTGTAAGGAATGCCTATCCTGCTAAGGTGGGTTGTTGGAAGCTAACTTTCAGTCTACATGATCTTTGCCAATAATACTTTTGTCATTAGCCAGGATAACATTAAGCACCTATCGAACACTCCTTGCTCAGGTCAGTTAGGCCTATCCAAGCACCCGCACAACTCTACCGCAGTAGCCCGGTAATGATGAACTGCTGTCTTGATGTTGCACGACTGCATTCATTCCAACCAACCCGAAACACGGTACCTATCGATCGGTGAACTTGCCCTGTGGCGTGACGTAGTTGACTTGTACTCAACCATCCGCACCCATTCAACGTTTGCACGATGGAGGAGACTGGCAAGTACACCTGCACTCAGGTGCACTTACCCACTGTCTTCACTCCGCTCGTCCACACCCATGTTACCGGGTGAGAGACATGTTGAAATAGACCAACATCTACTACTTGACAGTTGGCAATTTAGTGCGCTCTCCTCTAACCCGATGGCGCGACCCTTGGTCTCGATTAACAGATTTCTGGGACTGACCGTAGAGACCGCCTCGGGCGTTCACTATGTAACTCTTTGGGATGCAGAATATATGTTCTCTGCGTAGTGCTAGTCATACCAGAGTGCTGTGGGTACAACTGCGCTCGTAATAGCGAATATGCTTCACCCATGTAGGCGAAGCATCTTGCGTCATCAACTAACAGGTCGTTATGAAAAGGTTGCGTTTGTCTTTAATGCGGAAACATGGAAGATGCACGCACAACTACCCTGAGGCTGTGCAGCTAATGCAGTGCATCAGACATGAAGTTGGGCTTTCCTGACCAACTCTATCACCAGAAGTGGGAGGGGAGAACTATGATGCATTCCGTGGAGCAGTGATTATTACCTAGGCTCAAATACACCAGACAGCTGCGATGTTTACGAAAACCCGTTCAATGAGTACAGCGTGTTTATGTAATTGCTGTGTACGGAATCCTATGCCAATCATCCTTGTGTAGGACCTAAATCAATGCGCCTTATGGAAGCTACAAGGCAATTAAGTAGCCACCTCCTGCAATTGCATACTGTACATGAAAACTACCGCTAACGCGTAGTCCGCTTCGCATTTGGTGTAGCGTCCACGGATGTAGTGCTCACACGGGCTACCGTGGCAACCTTAACTGTACATGAGGCTTACTTTATCCACAGTCCTATAAAGAAAATTCCAGGAACATGTTTAATCTCCCCGCTATCGTTGACGCTAGCTTTTACTGACCGAAAACGTTACGGGTGTCAGTTACCTTGGCTTACTTTAGCAACTTTATCGCAACTGAAATGAATTTTGCTCTTATGGCTCCCATAATCCCCATATTACTGGGAATTTGTCATGCAAACACGCCGTGTCGAAGCAAGTAGTATCATAGTAGATGAATTCCCCCAGGTGTGGTCGACAAGAGTAATCCTTGATTTGGTTCTAAACAGTGTCACATCTCACACAAAATTTCTAACAGTGACCAATACATCGATATCTGATTTTGTGTCCACCAAAGAGGAACTCACGGTCGACGAGCAAGTGATCAGCATTTCTGTGGTTTGCGGTGCCCATGAGATTCTGCTGGTTAAACATACCTAACACGTATAATGCCTGACAGAGTGTGCAAGGTTAAGCAAAATGCTGCCATCTCCGAACTCGGATTTGTCTAAGTGGTTGTGATCAGGAAACCAAGTAAAAGGCCTTAAAAACCTTATTTGTTCACATACGTGTACGGGATACCTTCCGTTGTCCCTTAAAACCTAATTATCTGGAACAGCGGGAAAAATGTGCAGCTTTAGCTAGTTTGGAGTTTGACGTCACGACGACCCTCCATACACTGCATCCTGGCCTGGATACATGCTTAAGAGTAAGTACTATTTTCGACTGATCCATAAGGATAAGATGAAACAACCTGATCCTGACGATGCGACGATAAAGTCCGTTGCGTGGTGTTTCCTAGTTCTTTGCAGTACATGTATTTCGATCGCGTATTCAGTGACGTTTATATTAAGGTGTCCCTTTAGTTGCCCGGTTGGCAGTCGTTAGTTGTTGCTTCAGGAAGTGGGTCACAGTTAGGTTACCTCAATCCCCGTCCCTGAATAAGCCATCTTGCTTAAGCACGTGGACGACGTAATACTTGGCGTCCATCATCCAAGCACAGAGTCATCGGCCAAACTAAAAACCCTCCTGGACAACCTCACAGCTGGGTCCAAATCCCGTTGCCTATTGTTAAACATCTCAAAAGGCAAGGATGTCCTTTTTCGCCGTTCAAAGGAACTCGCTACCAGCAAATCCCAACGCAGTGTCCGCAAATTGCGTTGACGGTGAATGTTTGACGTCTTCCACTTCAGTAAAATAACTAAGAGTGAAACTGCGCAGTGGGCTTAGGTGGTCCGTGCATGTGAACGAAACATTCGCTAAAATTAGAAGACTCTCTTTCTAGGTTACACATCCCAGGTCTTCTTCGGTACCATGAGTTTTGATCCAGCGTTTTATCACTGCATGTTTTATCGTACTGGAACTATCGCACTTCAGTTATCTTTCCTTGTCTCTTAAGTAAGGACCTCAAAGTAATTGCCAGATCAGTGAACGGTCTATCGACATTCACGACTCGACAGGGCTACAAGACTATGCGACCGCACAAGGCACTATGGTACATCAGTAGTGTCGTATCTGTCACGTTTCTTGAACGACAGAAATTCAGTCACTCAAGAACTAGTTTGTAAATTACTTCAGCGATACTGAATTTGTCAAGTTTCGTAACGATTGCGGTCTTATATTCATCCTCATGTACTATTCGCTTTCATTATTTAATCCTATCCGTGGTGCATGTGTTAGAGCTGAATATTCATCATGCAAGGGTGCATAAAACACATTCTTGATTGAACACTATCCCTTGCATTTCTTTGGCTATATCTGATCACCACTCAAATCGGCTTGCCCAGAGGATTGCATGTTGTCACCTTTGGATGTATATTTCTACGGAAAAAGTGTTGTTTTCAGAAGTGAAAAACCCTATTCGTACTGAGGTTTTTAACACCACCGGAGGTAGGAGTAGCTCGCGTGTCTGACAACAACGGGCGGGTCGACAGCCTTTGTAAAGTGCAAAGCGGAATCGCAACACTCTTTACACTTGATGCGTATATATACAAACACCATGTGGCTGGTGCTTTTAAGGCTGCAGTACATCTCTAACTCCCAGAGGGCGACGAGCTAGAACGTTCTGCTCGTTTCTAAAGCCCAACAGCCAAACGTGCATGGTATCTGATGCACTGCAGTAACTGTGTTGGAGGAACTGTTATCCGTAAGTGCTCAGTTCCTATGGAATAGATAACTTTTGCCCGAAGGATCCACAGATAGCAACCAGGTTGCCATCGCAACAGCAAATAAACCGCTGAATCACCCGAAATAGGATGAAAAGCTCACATCCACAGATGCTTCTGTTTGATTTAATCACTGCCTTAGATGAACAAGGCACCATTACTTAAATTCAGCTAACTATGCTCACAAGATGTGACATACACCCTACGATAGTCACAAATTAAAATTTCATTCACAGCAGCTTCACGAATATAAGATGATGATGCGCCAGTAGATGGTACTGATAAGAAGCATGTGATAGTTATAAAACTCAGACCGAAATGTACTCCGGATAATCGTTCCGGAGGCAAATTCGGAAAGAAACGGACTGCAGTAAATTTGAATCCGAAAGTTGTCAATCAGAGTTATTCAAAGCGAGTATAAGTAGAGCATCGAAACATCCACTTTCGGTTAGCGAACGTTAAGAGTATCAGGAAGAGTTGTTAGCGTTAAGTGAAGGATTCAGTGAACACATTGAAAGTCGATTGATAATATGAGGCAGTTGTGGCATTCGAATACTGTATTAGTAGGCGACCATGAAGTAAGACAGAACACACAAAAGATTGCAAAAAAGTCGTCCTACTAGGTACTGTGAAAAAAACCGACCCATGTTAGAACGCCGCCACAGCCGGATGGGATAGTGCGCATGTGAGCTACGAATTTTTGAGAGATGATGTATCAAACTCGATGCACCGACAGATAATCCATGGTAAATAAAGTTGTTTGCACTTTATGGAATTACGAGGTGGTGTGTTGGTGTACAAAGGTGTTGGAGCAATGAACAAAGTCCGGTGGGACATGAAAGAAAGCGGTAGAAAAAATAACAAGGAAAAGTAATCTGTTCTGATGTGATATGAGTGAATCGCATTCGTTACGGACGTCGAATGAACGCGAGGGCGCGTGTTGTTCACGATGTATTGTTCAGCTACAAAAATGGTGCTGAAAGTGTAGGGAATGGGGACAATTCAGGTAGCAGTGAATAGCTGCGCTCGAGTGGTCTCCCAGTGACAGTGTGTTCCGCGACACGTCAAGCCATACACGATAGCAGAGTTAGGAGTGCTTGGCGATATGAACGCAAAAATGTGGGAGCATACCGCGCAACGATGAACACACGAGTGGCAAAAACAAGAGGTTTCTCAGTGGTGAGGGCGCCAAGTTGAAAAGCCGGTCACTTTTTCTCTATAATTCGAAAGCATGGAAAGGTGACGATTAGCGTGGAGCTAAGGTGAATAAGGAATTCGAAAAAGTAAATGAATATAGCAGAGAATTGATGTCTTGAGAAATAAGCTAAAAGATCGGACTGGATATGAGGCCGATATGCGAATTTGCTCTTAGGACACGAAAATAGCAGCAGGCAGATGAATTGGTGTTAAAAACAGATGAGTAACAATGGTAGAAGAAACTAAGAACGTATTGGATGTGACGTAGTGGGCCCACAAAACGTCGATAAGACAGAGATGTACACAGCCCAGGACTGTCATGTATGGGGAACCAATTAATAGTCGCACAGCCAACGGGACCAGTTACGAGTAATGCGTATGACTCCGTTGTGTGGGATACATGCGCAAATGAGCAGTGTTTGCAGGTTAAACATCAGCGTCTTGTACCGAGAAAATCTTAAGGGGCCAGCGGGAATCAGGATCCGTGGAAATAAGGACAAAATGAGAAGAAAAGAATGATACCAAAAGGTGGCTATCAGTTCCCGGATATGAATACCGCTATGGCGGGTAAAAGCAACAGGACGCCTGACAAAGGAAATATTGAGACCTGGCGCTCAAATGTTTTGTTTTTGGAGTAAAGCTGAACTCGTTGTTAACACAAGTTGAAAGTGCATTGGTCAGAGGCACCTATCGTGCTTAGTCAAATAGACCGATACACGCATAACGGCAAGTAAAAAATTGGCCACGTCACCTCAGATCACAAACAAATATCGATCATTCCTACTGGTTGCGGCTAGTCATCTGATGAAGTTGTCCATTACAAATTGTGTGCTAGTGAAAAATCACTTTATCCTGTCGGTGGGCCGCTTCCATGGAAATACTTGGGGCTCTAAAAATAAACGCATCTTTTTGTCTGTCCTTCCACTGTTCGTTTCGAATGCGAACCAGTGTGACTCGCAGATGAGTTCGCTCGCGAAATCTCGGCAGTCACGTTTTTATATAGCCCAATTTCAGCTTCGTAATTATCTGAAACACTATTGTTGCAACCTTCCAGTTTTGATTAAATCCGTGATCGGACTCACTTAAATCAGTCTATAGTTCCCTTGGACCTTTTGACCTGGACAACAGGACAGTTCTATAATCAGACAACACCTAGGAATAAATAAACCCACGGAATCCTGTTCTCTGTCTGTACTTCCTTCGATGGAGGTGTTAGTGGTCAGCTTTGCCAAACCACGCTCCACAGCACCACATTAAAAGTGTTTTGTTCCACGTTTGTTGAACAACTCCAAGCTTGACAATCGGCCTCCGATCCTGAACATCTAACATAGTACCGCCTTGACAAACAGTTCTCACTGTATCGGTGAACAGTTAGAGATCGCCTGTGTGCCAGTCACTCGTATAAAGCAATGTTCCTAACCCCAAGTTCAAAATTCTAGTTTTCAAACTTCAATGTTCGAACGATCATGTGGACAGGATCATAGGAAGCTCCTGCTCACATTCTGGAAAATCAAGCTTTGCGATAGTTCACTACGGTCGACTCTGTCAGCAGGCCGTGGCTAGTATGAAAAAGCACCACAGACCGGTGCTTCGACCTTCTGGGTCTCGTCAGTGGTGCGCCATCCGGCGGACCCCTGCCTGGTTCCGCCCAAACGACTTCCGGATGCCAGCAGATAGGGCCACTTCGCCATGGGTGACAGCCGCGGAGCTGCGTGATTGACAGCTGACTATGAGATAGCTCGGCTTATTGATGAGGTTTTAGTGGCATCATCAATACTTTGGCACTGTATTAACAGATAATCCACGGACCTGCAGATTGAACATTCGCGTATGGAAAGTGAGTATTGCATTTGAGAAGCTGGAACATCGGGTCTGGAAGAATTAGGAGCTGACTGTACGGACGAAGCTGTCGGTGTACAAGTCAATGGTGCTGACGGTTGTTTTGTACGGCAGCGAAACATGGATGCCATACAAGGACAACAGATATTTGGAGCGCTGTCAACAGCGCCTTAGTCGGATTCTGCGCATCCGTTGGCGTGATAGAGTTCTTGGCACGGAAGTGCTGAGTCGGTGACACGTACGTAGTGCTGCTGCGACACCTGAGGTGACTTGAACATATCCGTCGCGTGAATTTGACGAGAATACCGAAACAGTTGCTATATGGCTAACTTAGTACAGGAACAGAAGCTACGTTATCAGGACATGATCAAGGTGAGTTTATAAAGAACTAATATTACCTTTAGTTGCTTGGATGAAATGGCGGTAGATCGAGGTCAATGGCGTGACCACATCGAGAATGCGGTTTCCCAGGTTCACGAGAAATGATTGCTGTATCAGGAGAAAAACGTCGATCGTATCCCGACGGAGCCTGGTCCGTCGACATCATAAACCTCGTGTTACAGTGCATACGACAGATGTGCCTCAGCCGAGCCGGTCTTGTAGGTCATCAAGGTGACCAAGAGGAGTAATATCGAAGAGACGACGAATAAATTAAACGGATAAAAGTCATCGCTTGGAAAGTATGCTGCGTCCGCTTCCATTCGATTCACTAACCCAGTCCAATAATAAGGTTGATGTGGCACGCATGCAACATCCCAGTAGCAGTTGGTCTGTATGCGTGCCTGTATAATTTCTCCCATTTCTGGTGTTTGATGATTGATATGCTCGGTCTGATTGCGCTTGATATGAGTGTTCACAATGTGCTTATTTGTTGAAAACCGTCACCTCGGTGACTGCACTAGATTAAACGTATTTCCATCCAGTGTCGAACGGGTTACAACTGAGTTACCGTCCGGTGCATGCCTGGTTACTCCTATCCAAAGAAATTATGCATATATATATATATATATATATATATATATATATCGAGGCGGATGAAGAATATGATCTCCTTTGTCGTCTCAGTTGGGCCAAAATAGACTGTCCGTCACACGTGCGCTTGACATCAAACCTGACTCCTATGTGATATGCAATGTCTAGCTGCGCTTGACGTCTACGTTGACAAGGTACTCACCAGTCTATTACCCTCCGCATCGATCATACTGGCCCAGGAGACTACGAATATTTGCATGATCTTGGTAACTGTACTAAGTAGGCTCAAAGAGTGGCTCCATACGGTGTGGAGCGAACTAGGGCCCAACCACCGCCCTGTGTACGTCAGGTACGTATGATAGACAGGATTGCTGCTGCTGTGCATGTTGAAGGAGTATAGGTCGGATCCGATGATGAAATGTAGCTCCCATCCATATGTCTCCAGGTCTTATTCCTTCGGATTTACAATGGATACGGGGTGTGTGTGGATGGAGCTGTGTGGGGTGTAGTGCAAACCACCCGTGGACCCTCTTTAGACACAAGTGCCTGTGGCTGTCACCATGGAGGCCACAGTGACATGCATATCAGGAAACGGATGCCACCAACCATATACACAATGTAGGTGGATACGTATGAATCAAGAAATAGAAATGACGCTTACTGACAGTAAAACCCTAAGTAAGTAGTGAATGAAAAAGATGGAAATGTCCACTATTCCAAAAAGTGTGTGGATCCATTGTCAGGATATTACACCAGGAAGTTTTGGCAAAAAATAAGAGAGCACTCTTTATTCATGCACACTCTCAGTGACACGCATTCACTTTGGCGACAATGAACAGTTAAGCGAGATCTGGTGTTCATCGCTGTCAGACAAATGGAAGGCATATGTCGCGAGCGTCCGAAGCTGAAACTACGAGGAACCGTTGGCAGCGATGGACAGTAAACCTCTCACATTTTAATCACTTTTGATTCCAGCAGTAAGGAGCTGTATATATGGACGGTGGTCTCCAGTGATAGTTACCGAAAAAAGGGGAATAGCTCCGAAGTTTTCACGAACTGTAAAAGTTCGCTGTTTGGTGAGATCAGTTGCAGATGCCATCAGAAAATATGATTGACCAAATACTCTCGTAAAGTGACTCAATTAGGATAACGGTGCGATTGGAGGCGCAGAGAGAAGCGCGAAAACAATGTGACCCATGTTACCTAGGATCAATAACATAAATAAGGGAACTCAATCGTGACCCTATATGCTCAAAAGCCAAATGGATTAGTCAAAATACTAGGCACTCGTTTGACAACGATATCCGGGGTTGAGCCTACATATCACCACGTGAAGTACTCCGCTTCCAAATGTCAGTGGTCAGATCAAATAAATCATAGCCTGATTTTTGGTTTTATAGTCTAGTCGTGCTACCACGGTTAATAGACATCGTTAATTCTTACCAAGATGACGATGTGAGTCAGGAGGACCCAATTTAACACACTTCGGTGCTAGTACCCATTTACAGTAAGCGCTCCATAAAAACGCATATCAATTCCTTACGGACACCGGAGAGAGTACCGAAGCGCAGTCAGACAGATCAAACTAGGTAGATCATTTCTTAGTGAGTGATCAGTGAGTTGGGTGTGAAGATCGAGCGATGTAGGCGACACCGATTGGAGTCGGCCACGATAAGTTGCCAATAAACTCGAGGCACAGGGCAGACTTCTGGAGATCCTCCGCTTCAGTCTAGATCATGAAAAATGAATGTAACCGTTGCGGAAGTGGAGAAAAACAGCGCTGAGGAGTGCACAGAATCTTAAAACCCCTATCGGTTCAACAATGAGTCAAAGTGAAAAGTTTTATTTGCACTAGACGCCTTTGCTCATTAAGATAGTTTTGAAATGGCTACAACTACAACCACGAGAACCGAGCTTTAAGGAAGCTCCGCAAACATTGGGTACAAGGTATTGGCTAACGGGTCAAATCATACCCCGGGACACGGTAGAGAGACGGACGAGTAGGAATTACGAACAAGTAGTAAATCAAACAACCGATCGATTTGCCAAGAATGCAGTCGAAAGAAGGAGACAGTCTGAAATAAGTAGCCCATTACGTTCCAAACCGAAGCCAGCAGTAGAGATACTTGGCAAGAAGCAACGTGTACAGTGACATAAGAGGTCAAATGTTGACGTATGGTTAAGCGATACGGCAGTTGCGTGTTGAAA